AAATTATTGGTCCTTTTTTTGAGGGCACAGTTGATTGTGAGGTTTATCTAGATTTTTTTATAACTTTTTAGTGCATACATTACAAAGATTTTTTCCTGATGTTTAATCATCCAAATGAGATAAATCGATCTATTTACTACTAACAAGACGGAGCTCCACCGTATTTTGCTTTTTTAGTTAGAATTTATTCCCAATAGTTGGATTGGAAGACCGAAAGGTGGTAGAACAATCGAATGGCCAGCTGCATCCCCGATTTGACTCCTCTCGATTACTTCTTATGGGGTTATTTAAAATCTGAAGTACATTTTAATATAAGTACATTTAATAGACCAAACAGTATTGCTGATTTAAAAGTTAGGTTAACGGAAGAAATAAACAAAATAACCCCGAGGTCGTACAAAAGATCAATCAAAACATAACATTTAATCATTCGGATTCTAATCTCCAGACTAAGGTCTGATCTTTTAAAAAATGTTTTGATGTTCATGAGTTTTTCCTTACTGATATTTTCCCAAATATTTTATGGAAGTTACCTGTCCTATTATTTGTCGCTTGACGTACAAACGTACGTCTTTGAAAATACTAGAATTTTAGTTTTGAAACTTTTGGATTCAAACCCAACATTTCAGCTTTTGTGTGTTGCTTGCTGTTAAGACGGTATCGTCAGCGTATATGATGTTTGACACCTTGATAAATACATAATTACATTGACTCTATTAGAACTGTATGTGTCACATTGTTTCATGTATAATTTATAATTATCTTCCTTTCCAATTAAGTTTTGCTCATTATCATATAATAAATTTCCTCTTGATTTATGATTATACTAAGATGTGTTGTTTCATTTATCTTTTTCATGAGTTTTTTAGATTTTTTTTAATGTGGATTGAATAACACAAGAAATTGTTTCCATAAAATCTAAACATCTTCTAATAAAATTTATCACAAGCTATAAAGATTTACTGGTCTAACATATGTCGACTAAACCAATAAACCTACTTATACATCAAATCGGATTAGTAATTGAAACTGGATTGTATTTAAACTGAGAGAACAAATTACAGATACTAAACTAAAAGCCAGTAATACAAAAATTCTACTACAAAAGCAATTGATGAGATGGATTTTACTGAATAATTACCCTATAGGAAGGATATTTTTTTAAGAAAAATATTATTCTGAAATGTTTACTAGAGCTTTATGACTATTAATATAGCCTTATATACTTTAATTGGTATTAAAAGACCGCTATAAACTCCAAATAAGTATACAAAAAAAGAACATCGAAAATCTTTTTTATATTAAAATTTAAAAAGGAAATCCTAGTAGTTGGCTATATACCATAGTTTAGAAAAACTTAAAATGAAGTAAAAACGTCATTTTTTAAAGATATAAACTTTTAAAAGTATCCAAAATGGATTTATAAATTTTCAAAATGTTTTTGATCCAATCAGATCATCATCAGTGAAAAACCTACAAATAAGTATAACCACTTAAAAATAAAAGGGGTAAAATTTTGACTGTTAAATTGAAAATGTGGTTAATCCTTAAGTTATAAAGTAATTGGAACTAGCCGCACAATGAGGTCAGATGGCCCTTAAATTACATAATTAGAGTAAAAAACATTTTAATTATTAAGATATGAAATGGAGGATAAGGGATCACATTTTTTAAGCGAACGTACAAATTCCCAGCTTGAAAAAGGGACCTTACGCCCTGAGTGGTAACAACCAACTGTTGACAGAAGGAAGTAAAAATTGTTTTGAAATGACAAGACCTGCAAGACAAGTGATAAGTAGTTTTCAAAAAGTGATCCGATAACAGAGCCCAACAAAAAAATCTGTCTTCTGGGGTAAAAGTCAACTGATTTTGGTTAATTCATCTGTGCTGATTCCAAAAATACAAACCTTTTCTTTGCATCAGTCCTACTTTTCGAGATATAACATAATCATCAATAGTATTTCTCTGAAATGGCCTTTAAAAATTCTTACAAAATCGACTGCATTTCATTGTAAAATTTAGTTTGAACTGGAGTTTCGTTGCAAGAATTTGTTTTTGACAAATGAAAGCCATGGCTTCTACAAGCAGGCGTTGTTGTGTGAATAACCCAGACGTTTTTGCTATATATGTGGCGAGTACATTGTAAAGGAAAGTAGAAAACTAATTTGTGATTTTTTAAAAAGGCATAGTAAGCATATTTTGGTGTTGATTTAGGAGATTAAGATGATTTCTGGGCTCAATATATAGTGTGCAAAACTTGTCTTGAAAACTTGTGACAGTGGACGAAAGGACAACAAAAACGTTTAAAGTTTGGTGTTCCAATGGTATGGAGGGAACCAAAAAATCATTCTGATGATTGCTATTTCTGTCTTGTAAATATAAAGGGCATTAATCGTAACATTTGACATACGTGTACATATCCTAACCTGGATTCAGCAATAACACCAATTTCACATCATCTTGAGCAGATACCCATTCCAATATTTAGCAGTCTACCTACGTTACCAGAGAATATTGAAGAAACGTTATCTGACGAACTACAGACTAATAGATTTGAGGAGGATGACAATGATTTTGAAGGGGATTCAAAACGTTATGAATGCTTTACTCAGGAAGAGCTATCAGACCAGGAAGAAGCCGGAAGAGCATAAGGTCTTATCAGATCTTAACCTTCCAAAAGATTCTTTCGAGTTGCTTGCCTCCAGACTAAAGGAAAAGAATCTTCTTCACTTAAACACCAAAATTACATACTACCGTAATAGAGAAAAGGATCTTTTGCCTTTTTTTCTCAACAAGATAATATGGTTTTTTGTAACAATATTAAAGGACTGTTAGAAAAAATGGGTTTATCGGAGTATACACCAGATCACTGGCGTCTTTTTATTGACAGTTCCAAACGAAGTTTAAAGTGTGTCCTTTTACATAATGGCAACAAATATGGAAGTATACCAGTTGGTCATTCTACAAAAATGAAAGAAGAATATAAAACAATATCGCTGGTGCTAAAAAACATCAAGTATGATCAACTTCAGTGGGCGATCTGTGTTGATTTTTAGATGTTTAACTTTCTCCTGGAACAACAAGGTGGCTATACAAAATATTCTTGTTTCCTGTTTCTTTGGGATAGCAGGGCTAAGGACCAACACTGGAGTAGAAAAATGGCATTCTAAAGATGCTTTACTTTAAACAGAGGCTAACGTAGTTAACGAAGCATTGATCAACCACGAGAAAATAATATTATCTCCGTTACTTATTAAACTAGGGTTTAATACTTGTTTTAAATACTTGTCTTAAATACGGTTGTCATATGAGTAATAAAATTCATTACCTCCACAGCCACTTAGACCGTTTCCCAGAAAATCTTGGTGACCTTAGTGAGGAACAAGGGAACGCGAAGCTTTTTTTGGCAGATATGTGATGATTTTTGTACGTATATTGTTGTAAAATAATTATCTTACTTTTTATTCGTGTTTTGTTTTTTATGGGTAGCAACACTACATATATGTAGATAGTACTGCGTAAAAATTATGTGATGTGCTATCGTATTTTTTTAAACCATCTGATGGAGCAAATCTGGTGGTATTTGTGGATTCAGCAGACCCAAATTACCTAGAAACAGTAACAAATTTCAGGCAGCAAAATATATGTTTGAAATTGGAAACAGCGGCGAAACAGGTCGTCTAGTCATCAACGAAGACAAAACCAAGTACATGTTGGTTACAAAGGATCCGATAGCAAATGAGGAACGAGAAACAGTCTTTGGAAGTCATACCTTTGGACGTGTTGACAACTTCACATACCTTGGTCGCTATTGACTGCTACCAATAAAACAAGCGAAGAAATCAAAAGACGAATAAATCTTACAAATAGGGCATACTATGGACTCCAAAAGCATTTCCACTCAAGAAACATTCAAAGAAGAACTAAAATTATTATATACAAAACATTGCTGAGGCCGGTCCTCACATATGGAGCAGAAACATGGACACTAACGCAGAAAGATGAAAGACTTTTGGGAATATTTGAGCGTAAAATACTCCGCAAAATATTTGGAGCTGTAAACGACCAAGGGCAGTGGCGCAGAAGATATAATTTTGAATTGTATCAGCTCTTTGATGAGCCAGATGTCATAACGTTCATTAAAACACAGCGACTTAGATGGGCTGGACACATAATACGAATGCCAGAAAATACCATTGCTAAAAAGCTAACCACAGGAACACCTGTAGGAAAAAGAAGCAAAGGCCGACCGCGAATTAGGTGGTTAGATGGAGTAGAAACCGACTTACGAATATTAAAAATCAGAAGATGGCAACATGTTGCCAAAAACCGAACAGAATGGCGACGAATCTTAGAGCAGGCCAAGATCCACAGAGGATTGTCGAGCCAAAGATGATGATGAAACTATGTGTTTACCAGTATAGTATATACCCATTAAGGCTGAATTTTAAAGTTTTCCTTGAAAATTTAAATATTTAACCGATTATTTCTACAGCTCTTAACGTGTAAATGGTGAATAGAGCGCGCAAAACCGATAAAGAGCCAGTAAAGGTGTGTCGCCAAATAAACTTTATAAAGACTATTAATCGGAGAAACCGCCGGAATAAATTGATTAATTAGTGTAGTCAACTAACTAATTTATGTATAAAGTAGGACAAATAACATTAAATAATAGCGATAAATAATGACTCAAAGAAAGCCTTAGGGCTTACAAACGAGCATCCTAGTCATCAGATGAATTACTAAAAGAAATAGAAGATAATGAATCAAATGATATAGACGTAATAAAGTTAAATAAGAATAAATTAGAAATAAGTCCTTCAGACAATGTAAATATATTAAATAATACTATTACAGTTAATTTCAATACATTAATAGAAAAATCAGGTCCTTTTGACCAAATAGTTGACAATAAAATAAATATCAGTAATACTGACTACTAACAAGAAACATGTTCTAAAGATATGTTCAGTAGTATAATTACACTGGATAATGATTGCATGACAAATAGTAGTACTAGTAATATATCCACCGATGTTGCCCATAGTGACAGTGAAGATGAAATAATTGTAAATGTAAATAACGTAGACTTTAGGCTTTTTACAAAGACCCATTCCGGAGGAAGTGACTCAGAAAGAGAAGATATCAAACTTACCAAAGAAATGGACGCAAATAAGGAACTAGTTCGATCAATGGACACATTGATCGAAAAAATGAAAACCAAAAACAAGCGCCTGATAGACCGAATCCATAAGATGCATCGGAAAAATATGAAGCAAATAACAAAACCAGAAGAAAAAATCTCCGGAAAAGACCAAACAATACAAAAAGCTAATGCAAAAGATATTCGAATTAACGAATATAATAGCAACATTACAAAAGCCAGTAGCAGTATCAAATGATGAACCAATACACTGAAAAACAGAAAAAAAACCAAAAATAGCAGAAAAACAAACAAAAACTCAAGAACTGGGAAGAACCAGTACTAGTAAAGGATGTAAGATGGAAACAGAAGAGAACGATGATGCTGACTGGACAATTCAACATAAAAGAAAAATAAACAAAATTGCCAACTCTAAAAGAAAAAATTCTGTAAAAAAATCAAAAAATACCAATGTTGCTGAAAAGACCAAAAAACACGGAAGCAAAAAGAAGATACTTGTGTACCCAGGAGTATGTTAAGAGACGAGAACAAGAACATCATGATGAAATATAAAAAGAATACCGAAAAAGATAAATAAGAAATAACATGCCCAAACCACCCGTACATAAGGAAGATACAACAAACGAAAAAAAAACACTAAGGAAGGATAACAGGATTGCAATGGACAGGATTAACGACATACACTCTGAACAACATATACAACATATTCAAAAATAGAATTAATGGAAAATGTGATCGCTAACATCCATAAAAAGCCAGAAGATCCTGCAAAAAGCTGCAGGAAAAGAGATAAGATCAGCAAACATATTCGCTAAATTCAGAAAATGTATCATTATACAGACTAGTCACAGATAAGAATACCTTGCAATGATCAAGATACTCGAAGAATACAGTTAAAAGAACTCTATAGTATACGTTGCATATTTAATAAAACAAGAAAGAACAACAATATTTGTAATTAGATAATTACACGAAACTACAGAAACAACAAAAATCCACCAAGAACTAAAAGAAGGAGGTATTGAGGTAATTAAAGTCTCAAATATGATTTCCAAGAAGTAAGATCGAAAAGTTCTGTCATTATAAAAAAGAGGAAAAATGAAATCTAAGAAGCTTAATAAATTTCTGCTACATGAGAATACACACAGTTATGTAGTGCTATAATTGCCAAGGATACTACTATAGATCCAAATCATGCCACTGTGAAACTAAATGCGTCAAATGTGGCGAAGAATACATTAGCAGTGAATGCACAAAGAACAGAAACACTGATCCAAAATACGCAAACTGTGACGAAGCTCACACTGAAAATTACAGAGGATGCCCCAAAACACCAAAAAGAAGAAAAAACACTTCACACGCATCAATAAAAAGCAAAACAGTGGAACATGTACCAACAACTAAAAAGAACAACAAAAGTTATTTTCTATCGGCAAAGAAGACAGAAAAACCAAAAGAAAATTATGAAGTAGCGAATCTCATGGCAATCCTACACGAACAAATTAAGGACTTCATGTTCATGTTCGAGAAAATGACCGGTGTACTGAGCGCAATGGGCGGTATCGGTGTAAACGGAACTCTCTAATCGGTTGAACGATCTGAAAATAGGGTCATGGAATTCTGGAGGGCTAATATAGAAAATTAACACTCTGGACGAGCTTGCCAACAGACTTAAACTAGGCATCATGTCAAAAAATAAAGCGATGGTGATTTTTTACTCTTAGAAGGACTGCTTTTAGGCATATGCAGCGCGTACAGGGCCGTATCAACCGTTGCCTTACATGTAGTGGCCGGTGCTGTGCCAGTGCATATCCTGGCTAATGAGAGGGTTCGGGTGCACCAAAGGGGCAAATATAGGGGCACCAAAGGATAAATGGTCAAGAGAAGCAGACAAGGCTGCCTGGACAAGGGCCTTTATCCCAGATGCAGTAATGAAGGTATGAGTGTAAACACAGTGTGTTAACTACTACCTTACCCGATTTATGACGGGGCTTGGATCTTTCTGGTCTTATACATATAGAATACAGAAGACCGAGGACGATCTGCGTCCTTAAGCCGGAGATACACATGCCTGTTACTAGCACAATGGCATACCAGTACCAGCAAGCACCAGCTACTGTCCCCAAACTGACAAGTGTGTACGTTAACTGGCATGTTAGTTCCTGGCTGGCTAGCTAATCGCAAAGAATTTGATTTTTCTTGTTAGTAGCATGCTGTTAGATGCAAGGCGCATGCGTGGGGAGTGTCACTGGCATGTGTGAACGAACGCTATGGCATCAGGCATGCCAGTAGCTAGCAGAGAACTTTCAGATTTGTTGTGTTTGTGATAAAAATTAATCGTTTTATTTTTAAACTTATTAAAAAAATGTTTCGTTGGTGTGATGAATAATCCATCAAATTTATTGCTATATATAGAGAATTAGAGTGTCTTTTGAATTCTGAATCATCTCTATATAAAAATAAAATAGCCCATGACAATGCTTACACAAAAATTCAAAAGGAAATGAGTATGAAGTAAATGAGAATGATAAAGGAGATAAAGGCCAAAATAAAAATTGCTTCAAGAATTTCTAGCCTACCAATCCAATTTCTTACCCATTTTTTTTCTTTTTTGAGTTCCGCTTAGGATTCATTATTAAATTTCTAACAATATCTAAGATCATCAGTAATATTTGCTTATTGAATTCATTTCGAATACCTTCCATTAATCCCTTTTTTTTTGTTGGAAACTTAAAAACTTTTAATTACAAAATAAGTACTTTAGTTTCAGATGAAAACCACTCGATTGTTTACTAGCACTGGCATGTGTAAAAATCTACCCTAATTTTTCGCTTGCATGGCGGACATATCCGGAAATGCGAATGCGCCTAAATTTAATTTTCCGACACTTATTAACAATAGCTATAGAATATAGTTTAATTTAAAAGATAATAGTCTAAAATGCGACACAATTGTTAAAAAACTTCAATATAAATAAGATTTCATGTGACATTTGGGACAAATAATAACATAACCCAACTAAATTTGATTTGCTAGTATAGGCAAGCGAGCTACTGGCATGCCAATTGCTAGCAAATTTATTTTGTGCTTGGCTATGCCAGTAACTCGTATGCCAGCTACTTTCCCAATTTACTGGCATGTGTTTATCCGGCTTTAATGTGAAGTGGTGGATGACGCGCATCATGTGCTATTCGTATGCCCTATATACAATGTGGAGTGAACCTTGCTGCAACTGGGTCACCTCTAGCTAAGCCACATGAACTAATGAATAAAGCAATTGAAAACAAAAGAATTTTTCACTTGATAATTTGTTTCGTGACTGAAGCCATAAAGCACAAGGAAGAGAAAGAGGACTGCAACAAAGGTGAACTGTTTACTTTAATTGGTCGTATCTGTCGCCGTCAATGGGGTGAGCAACTATTCAGCTTCCACTACTGACGCCGAAATCTTAAATGAATTCAGAACATTACAGGAATCAATTTACATACATGTTGTTTTGTTATATTTGTATCCAGTGTACGGTGTTTGTCGCCTTTTGGAGCAGCCTATTACTAAGTAGTGGAATATGAATGCCTGGAGTTGCTTGTACCTGTTGTCTGAAGTTCAAGATGGTTGAAATAATGGCGCGGTCGTTCCTTCCTGCCTATCGCTCTGCACAAGATGGTTACCTTACAAATCAAGTCCGGTGGAAACGTAAGTGGGGTGGCGCAACTGGGATGCTATGGCAATCACGGAGCGCAGACGGAGAGCGACAGATACGAGTTATGAGCAAAGCTGACGGATCAGATGGTAATGCTCGCTAAGAACGGTCCCAGGCCCGTCGGTTGGATAAAGAGGGTGTAAGTTTAGTTGGCACGCGGTCAGCTACGGTGAGGCGTAGTCGTCCAAATTCAACACACCTGGGACACCTTCCCAGAGGTCTTTTGAAGAGTCTCACCTCCAAAAAAAAACGGACCGCTTTGCCCCATATTCTCCTACTGGCATTACTAGATGTTCCAGTGTATATAATGATATTGTACAATTGCATAAAAAATATCTAATTCTTCACATAGTTGTGTAAGGTAAAACTGACGTTCAAAATGTGGTGTCAAAAATGTATACGTCTACTACAAATATAATCGCATTTTGGTATGTTCAGTACATTAATGTCGAATCATATACCTATTTTAACACCTAGCGTTTCAAGTATGGACATAATGGCATTAGTTCGATGTCAAATTATATTGACCACGGAACGAATTCGGCATATGTTTTCAACATATCCAAATAAGAGTGATAAACAGACAAATATTGCACAATTTAAATTCTTTTGGCATCCGTTTTAGTACTACAGTAATTTTATTTCTATTTACAGAAAGATAATTTAATTTTTGTGCGCAACCTGCGTTGTCCCACCGAAGTGTTTCGCTACAAGAAATTAATTTACATATTTATTCAGCGAGTTGGCGTGCTACGAAAACAACAGAACCTGCCTAAATAAAAATCTAATAAAAGATCTCTTTTTTAATTCTCGTCCCACGTATATCCTCCTAAAATTTTAATTTAAAATATTTAAAGGAATTTGAGATGTGGGAGTTAAATAAAGTTATTATACTAAAAAAGTTTTTCATATCTTTGTGTTAGAATATTTGAGGACTTACTTCAATAATAATTAGATGATTATATTTGCATTATATATACAATCCGTTTTTTTTATGTTCGCGTGGTCTATTTTTATTTGCATGATAAATTCAATAATTTATGATTTAATCTTTTTTACGTGCTAGTGATTTTATCCCCTAACAGACTAAATATATTCGTTTTCTCGTAGTTTAAATAGTTAATAGAAATTTTGTTGTCATTGCTGAAAAATTCATTATGGCAATTTGATAGAAAGGTTTTCACAGAATGTTGTATTACAATTTAAACTACAAGAAAACGAGTATAGTTAGTCTATTACATGATAAAATCACTGGCAACGAAAAAAGAATAAAACATTATTTTAATTATTTTTCAAGTTCGTAAATAAATTCAAAGATTTATTGATTTATTTTAAATAACTCTGATAAAAACAACAAAATACCTTAAAATAGAGTAGTAAATATCTTAATACTTTGATATTCTTACCTCACAAATTCACGAACAACAAATAATACCAATCGCACATAGTGAATGTTCATAACCAAAAATCCTTATTTATTCTTTAAACAATTAAAGAAACCAATATTTCCAACTTGTTATGGGATAAATACTCACAGA